CGTTCAGATGCCCAGGGCCTAACCAACTCAGAGGCCCTGGGCTTTCAGCATTTGCTGAAATCCGAGACTCGGTGCACTCCAACCAACTGGCGTGCTGCAACTGTATGGACCCCACTTCGTGAAATGTTGCACAGAGGGCTCTTGTCGATTTGCTGGCCCGCCTTCACTTAGGGCGGGCACTAGGCTTGCTGGGGCCTTAGCCCAGAACGTGTACATCATGGCAAGGCCCCTAGATGAGGGCTCAATCCTCACACAAGTCTCCGGTTGGCTGTAGGAGCCCAGTCTCCGACAAAAGTTAAAGAGTCCCAAAAATTGAAGCCGCATCCAAGGAAAGTCTGGTGACATCCGGAATCAACAAGCAACCACGGCCGACGGGCTAGGGATCGGTACCGGTCTGAAGAGCCCAAGATTGTGAACCCGCAGCATGCTACAGTGTGGAAGGAAACACGTTCATTCTAATCGTTGCAGAACCGCTGATGTTTGCTTGCGCGATCTACTTTGAGTGCAACTTGGCTGGAGTCAGTAGGGTAGTCACCGGCGCAGGGTGCCATAGCTAGGACTTCGATCAGAAAGAGAGAGAGGGAGAGTGTGTGGAGATATAGAAGACATTGAAAAAGATCTGCGTGAGAGAGAGAGAGCATGTACCTGGGAAAGACAAGGGCAGTCATGGCTGCAATGTGTACACACGTGGAAACAATGCTGTTGTTCTTTATTTTTCAATCAAATTCGGACTCTCATTCAACGTTTGCCTTCGAAAAGGAAAAGTTTTGAAAAAGTTCGTGCAACGATCCTGGCATGTGCCCTCAACCTTGGTGAGGATGCTCTAAGGGTGTTTAATGCGATATCGAGGATGTCTTCTTGAATGGGCAAGAATGGACTCTCAATATGGAACGAAGGTTCCAATCGAGAAGATGGGTTCCAATCGAGATGGCTCATCTTCAAATAAGCGACAAAGATGCTGTAGTTGGCACTTGCCTGGCATTGTGTCTGTGACAGGCGTTGGCCTTGAAATTTTCCCCGTTGGCAGGTGATGCGTTGGACAGGGGGTGGTTGGAAGGGCCTCGAGTGGTTGACAATGCTGACGATGATTATTATGTGATGCTGTTGTGAATACAATGCTCAAATTTCAATCGGCTGCTGCATGTGCTCCCACTTCATCTGCAGAAACAGGTCACGAGATGGAGACAACCAGTGCTGCCTGCCCAGGTTCTCACATACGCGTTGCACTGATGGACACATGACGACTCCCATCTGCACAGCACGTCAGCATCTGGCATGGGAAGAAACAACAGTCTCCGCTCTTTGGGAGACGTTGCAGCGGCTACTATAACTTGTTTTGGCAAAGGCGTAGGGTTTGGAAATTACGAGGCCCATTACCTTCGGATGCAAAAGTTTGAATCAATCGGTTTTTCCCAACTGTTGGGGGTGCGTCGACTGCACCCCTGCTTTTGTTGACAAACCGAAGAAGAAAGACGGGGATGAGTTCATGGGAGGGAACATGGTTGCATACCTGCCTACCGCCAACCCCGGCCACCGACCGTTTTGCAGACGACCAGTAGCGCCGACGGTCCGGGTGTGCAACACTAGGAGGCAACAAAAAAAGGTTCTCCATTATTGCACAGTTGGTTTTCGACACTGAGTTGAGGATTTTAGATCTCTGTTATGGGTTTTTTGGCACCATGGGTGACTGTCGCATACACATTTACACATAGCAAAGTGTAGCGCAGATCCAAGGAACCGACCCCAGCAACAGACAATAGAACGCAGCGGAAGACTGGAACATACACTCTGACGCAGCAAGATTGGAATGGACAATGCTCACTCATTCATTTACCACTCAGTGAGATGGGCAGCAGCGTGCCATACACAGAAGGGGCGCTGTCCCCAGACCATCCACAGACGAAGTAGAAGGGAGATGGAGACAAAGGGGAAGGGGGGGGCGAGAATGCCAAGTCGCCAATGTCATCGATCCCGAAGTTTCCCGAAGTCCCAATCTCAGCACATTGTCCAAAGGCGGGTCTTTGCCCGAATACCAGAACAGGGCGATGACCTGAATGCCACGAAGCTCAGATCCCAGATAACTCTCTCTCTCTCTCTCTCTCTCTCTCTCTCTCTCTCTCTCTCTCTCTCTCTCTCTCTCTCTCTCTCTC